GGGATGCCATTTTCGGGGTGAGACGAATTCATGTAACTAGGAATTCTTTTCTTTCAGTGCCCCGGGCCGTACCCCACCGGGGAGGGTGCCCCGGGGAAAAAAAAAAAGTTTCACTTTTTAATTTTGTAATGTTACAGGAGAAGGGGTTTTTTTAAAATATAATTTTTCCTGAAAAAAGGGTATACGGGCACGCCCCACTTTGCAGCGCTTGCTTTAATGTTTCCTTTTAACCATTTGCTTTACACCGTTTCCCCAATACCGCATTTTTTTATTATACCCTTTCATCATTTTTTAGATTTCCCTACAATAAATATATTCACCACTCATTATAAGCTAAAAAAAAAATATTTAAAAGGTAGTAAGTGTGTACCATATATGTTTTTTTTTTTAGGCCTAGCTATATTGCTAATTTAAAACATGTTAAAACCTACATATATTATCGGTTTTTAGCATTTGAGGGGGAAAAAGGTTATGATTACTTTACACGTTTTTTCCTTTTTCAGCGTAGCCTGGAACAACTACTGCATAAGGGGCCATCCGAAAATGCATCCAAAAATTTGCCCTTTTTTTAATTATCTTTGTTAGTTTCAATGGAATATGTTGACATCTTTTGAAGAATTTTAAACTTTCAGCATGTCTAGAATTTTTTACGTATTTTTCCCCCGGGATATGATTGCAACACACTGCATTTCTATTTTTGTATTGAATTTCCACGAGGTGACTAAACTACATCCCTTTTTTTTTTATTATTGTCCAAATTATAATTTTATTTTTGGTTTTAAATGAACTTCGATAGCTTGTTCAAATCTTACCGTTTGTTGGTCTTGATTTTATTTCATAGGGTAGTGCTAAATTAGTAAAAAGGGCAAACAGCATCTGAGGAAAGATAGGGCATCGATTTGACCAAGAAAAAGGAAAGGTAAAATAATTCCCTTGGATCAAGATCCCCCAACAGATTAAAAACCCTTGAAGTTCTTTTCAGTTTTTATGTTAAAAACAGTGGGGGTGAATAAAATAAACCAAGTGTTAAACCCAGAAGGGTCTTAAAATTTGTAGGTGTGAATTAATGAGGATTATTATTATACTATTATACATTAATTAGGGGGAACGAAAATGAAGGCATTTGTGCCCGGGGAAAAGGGGGACGTCAGGTTCAGTTGGGGTAGGGGCAAGTTCATTCTAAGGGGGGGGGGGGCAGATTCATCTAAGGGTGGGGGGACAGGTTCATTTCCCCGCATGATGGCCCCCCCCGCCAACTTCGAGAAACCTCCCCAGGGAAAAACTTAAGGAAATATGTTTGGGGATCGCAGAAAAAATGCAATTTTAGTACATGTTTTGTGGATGCCCCTAATAAGTTTGTTTCTTTTAGTTTCAAGTTGGGTTTCCCGCTTCTGGTCCTGCAACTTACAAACTTTGAGGGAGATTTAATTAGGCCTGCTCGGGTACTCATCTCCCAAGCTCTTTAGAGGGTTACCTGCTGTTTAGGGGTAGAGCTCTATTTTGGGCTTGACACAAATGCTTACGGGGTTTAGGTCTGGTTTCTTGTCTACAATTAAAGTTGAAAAAGGTTCAGTTTCTGGTCCTGTTGGAAAAAACTTTTGGGTTTTAGTTACTCAACTCCTAGTTACATTTGAGAGAGTTGAACTTTTGCTTGTGGTCCTATTGAAGGGATTAGGTTCCGCTGCTCATGTGTGCCCTTTGGCTTAGGTTTTAAAACCCCGGTTCTGGCCTGGAAAATTTTTGTAATGAACTTTGCGCTACTGGTTATTATTTTTATCATTATTTTAATATTACTTCTGCTATTTTCAATGATATTTATAAAATTTTTCATTTTTGCTTGCACTCTTTTTTAAGCCATTTCTCCCCAAAATAAGGGGACCAAAAAAAAATAAATTTACTCATTCACTATTTTTCCAGAAATTTGCTGACACCACTCAATGGCTCTCCAACTGCATCTCCTCCCCTTCTTTCAAGTGTAGCACGTACTTTTCCCCCCACCCACAGAATTTAAGTTAGCTAATTGGGTTTATTCTGAATCCCTTTATTAAAAATTACTTGCTCTTACACTAAGAGCATTTTTTTTTTCCAACAAGTCACCCTTTCCCACCAAGGGAAGGTGGGCCCCAAAAAAAGAAAAATCCCCAAATAGAAAACACTTAATCTATTCAACCTTTCCCCACTTACATAAACACTGTTTTGCAGAGGTTTCCCCGAATTCAGTAGTTTAGAAGATATAAAAAATAAACATATCCCTCCCAAAATGCCAATATCCCAAAAACCCCCCCCTTTAAAATCAGGCATTGTACTTCCTTTTCCGCCAAAAAGTCAGTATATAAAAACCCGTTTCCCCGAATCCCTTCATAAATATTACTCGCTCACACCCAACAGCTCACAGGGCCCATATACCATTCGTCTCCATTCATCCTATCTGACCCCCAGCACGCTTGCTGGGAAATCCAAGCCCCCTCCCTCAATCTTTTTGAGGATGACCCCCACCCACCTTCCTTTCCCCTACGTTTCTACGCTCCCATGTTTCTATTTGATCCATTCTCTCTAAATGACTCGCCACCTCAACACCCCCCTTCAGCCCCCTGACTAAAACTTTTATTAAAATCCACACCTCCTAATTTCCACATCCCAAATTTTCTGCATAATTTTTCACCCCACATTGCCCTTAGACAGGACATCTCCATCCCCCCTCACTGCAGCATGACAACCCAAGCTTCCACCCATATAAAAGTGTTGGGACCACTATCTTTCATAATTCCCTTTTTTTGCCTCCATAGTACGTTTTTTTCTCCACATAGGTAGGGGGTGTGGGCCCGGTGTTTACAGTGGGAAAAATATAAGTGAAAAGTAATTTTGAAAGGCTAAAGAGGTCTTTGTGGCATTTTGGTTTGGAAAAAAAAGGGGTATGACAGGGGGGATAGGGGGCTGTGGCAGATGTTTCAGGTGATGGTTTTAAAAGGGAGGGTTCGAAAGCATGAAGAGTTTTTACGAGGATAGTGAGGCTCAAATTAGGGGTATGTAGGAAAGGGGAAATTTTTTCCCCGTAAAAATGGCCTTTGACAAGGATGGTGATGTCACCCTGGTTTTTTAAATTTTATAGATGGGGTTGTAAGAGAAGTAAGTGTTGGGGGTTTGGCAAGAGGCGTGGGGTTAAAAGATAAAAAAATCACACATAAAGTGGGGTTGTCACAGTTGCTCTTTGCTGATGAACTTGCCTTTGGGGGATTCTGAAGAAAGTTGCAGAGATTGGTGGATGAATTTGGTAGGGTGTGCAAAAGAAGAAAATTAAAAGTGAATACAGGAAAGAGTAAGGTTATGAGGATAACAAAAAGATTAGGTGATGAAAGATATTGGCAGTTTGGAGGGATATGTTGTGTATCTTTATACGTATATGCTTCTAAACTGTTGTATTCTGAGCACCTCTGCAAAAACAGTGATAATGTGTGAGTGTGGTGAAAGTGTTAAAAGATGAAAGTATTTTCTTTTTGGGGATTTTCTTTCTTTTTTGGGTCACCCTGCCTCGGTGGGAGACGGCCGACTTGTTGAAAAAAAAAAATGAAAGATTGGATACCAGATTGGAGGGAGAGAGTATGGAGGAGGTGAATGTATTCAGATATTTGGGAGTGGACGTGTCAGCGGATGGGTCTATGAAAGATGAGGTGAATATAGAATTGATGAGGGGAAAAGGGGGTGGAGTGATGCACTTAGGAGTCTGTGGAGGACAAAAGAAACTTTGCCTTGAAGGCAAAGGGGGATGTATGAGAGTATAGTTTTACCAACGCTTTATAGGGGGTGTGAAGCATGGGTGATGAATGTTGCAGCAAGGAGAAGGCTGGAGGCAGTGGAGATGTCATGTCTGAGGGCAATGTGTGATGTGAATATAATGCAAAAATTCGTAGTTTGGAAGTTAGGAGGAGGTGCGGGTTTACCAAAAACTGTTGCCCAGAGGGCTGAGGAAGGGTTGTTGAGGTGGTTCGGACATGTAGAGAGGATGGAGCGAAACAGGGGACTTCAAGAATGTATCAGTCTGTAGTGGAAGGAAGGGGGGGGTAGGGGTCGGCTTAGGAAAGGTTGGAGGGAGGGGGGTAAAGGAGGTTTTTTTGTGCGAGGGGCTTGGATTTCCCAGCAGGCATGCGTGAGCGTGTTTGATAGTGAATGGAGACAAATGGTTTTTAATACTTGACGTGCTGTTGGAGTGTGAGCAAAGTAACATTTATGAAGGGGTTCAGGGAAACCGGCAGGCCGGACTTGAGTCCTGGAGATGGGAAGTACAGTGCCTGCACTCTGAAGGAGGGGTGTTAATGTTGCAGTTTAAAAACTGTAGTGTAAAGCACCCTTCTGGCAAGACAGTGATGGAGTGAATGATGGTGAAAGTTTTTCTTTTTCGGGCCACCCTGCCTTGGTGGGAATCGGCCAGTGTGATAATAATAAAAAAAAATATACCTCAACGCACCACTCACTTTTTTTCCTTCATCAATTCTATGGTTAACCTCACGTCAACTCGTCAACTCCCAAATATCTGAAAACATTCACTTCTTCCATACTACTCCTCTCCAATTTGATATCCAATTTTTCTTTATCTAAATCATTTGATACCCTCATCACCTTACTCTTGTATGTTCACCTTCAACTTTCTACCTTTACACACACTCCCAAACTCGTCCACTAACCTTTGCAACTTTTCTTTAGAATCTCCCATAAGCACAGTATCATCAGCAAAAAGTAACTGTGTTTAACTCCATTTTGTATTGATTCCCCATAATTTAATCCCACCCCTCTCCCCAACCCCTAGCATTTACTTCTTTACAACCCCATATGTTATTAAAATTACTTTTTTTCATCGATGTACATGCAAGCAACTAAGAGCGATTTGTCTTTCATCTACTTTTATTCAAAGGTTACAATAAAATATTAGTATTAATTTATAGAATTTTATTTAAAAAATGTTTAAAAAAGAATATACAAAATACCTTATACAAATACAGTATACCTTAAAATCTAAATACAAGCTATATCATATTTTTTATGTATAAAAAATAGCTGAAAATCTCGGGATATTATAAAATCTAACGAATTTGTGATGTTAAAAACATTTCCTATTTTTAGAGGATGCAATTCAAGTACTCATTCTTGTGGAGTTAACTATATTTACCGGTGTTCAAGATGTGAAAGAACATATATCACTTTACTGCATAGCCCAAGCATCAAATGACCCTCCAAACTACCAATACAACTATTCTAATTAGGATTTACATTTTAGATCCATAAGTGTACTGCCAAGAATGCTTCTTTATTAATAAAATTTCACCAATTTTTCACAATTTTCTGTCCAGATCCAGCCGCTCATCCCCATTAAAGAAAAGTGATAATAAACAATAGCATATATACAATTACAAACAAAATGGGGCATAGCCATATTTCAGAGCCTAACCTGATAAGTAACAAAGGCAAAACTGGTATCAAACATAGAATGATAAAAAGTACATTTGATAAAGGAAACAGAAAATTAACTTGTAATATGCTTGAAACACAATTACAAAGAAATTCTCCCTAACCGTTAAGAAATTGACAACTATTAGATGCAAAATCCGAAGTAGAAAATTACAACTGCAACATGACTAGAAAGACAAATCTACAATCAGGTTATACAATGTGCTAGATTATATGTATGTAGATTAATGCCAACATCATGGTGAAAAATCATATGCTCAACTATTTCTGAAAACAATTAAAGAATAACTCGCAGAATGGTCAGGATTCAACCCCATGCAAGGTTTACTACTGTCTTGCAAAGGGTTACAAATATGTTGTTACAATTTCATGAGTTGATTAAAAGATAAAATTGATGCTTAAAAGCATAAAGTAACTGCAGTGAATACTTATCTACATATCAGTAAAATTATATGATAAATAAATATGTAATTTGAAAGGCAGACAAAAATCTTTTTCTATTTTTCACTTTCATGACGAGAAAAAGAGAAAGCAAAACTTAAAAAATATGACATTATTCCACTGAAAAATATGAAGGCAAATATCATTGGATAGCAAACATTCTTACATACAATCATCTCTCATAAACCTCCTCTATATAGTGCAATTTTTTTGTAAATGCAACTGGAAAAATGTACATCCAATACTGAATAGTTCATGGAGAGGCTGTCAATTTTTTATGGACTTTTTCAATCACATGAAAAACTGTACTAAATAGAAGAGCTTTATAAGAGCTGACTATTATAATATAAAATTTACAAGACCAATAGCTTCAGTGTAAAATTTAATTTGCAATCTCAATATTAACATTCGAAGTAAACAACTGTAGTAAATTCTAATCTTAAAAAAATACGAAAACACATCACAATGAAGAATGACAAATCTGAAGTGGCTAATATTATAAACAACCAGAACTTACTTTATAAATTTCATAGCAACGAGAAATAACAAGCTTCGTTAAGACTGGGAAACATATCGGGAAAGCAGCATAGACACTTCATTCAGCTTGTTTAAGGTAATGTTTGCTGGGTCTTGATCAAAGGAAGTGTCATGAGTGGGAGCTTCACTGCCTGATGCTTTAACAGTAGTTTTTCCCTGAAATTAAATATCCCAAAACAGTTTAAACCTCACTGTCTCCATGGAGATCTAAGAAATCTTTTTCTCATTATAGACAAAACATATTAGCCATTTCATTATTTACTAAAGTTGGATATTCATTTTTTTAGATTGGATATCTACAGTTAAACTTAGGAATCATATTACTGTCATCTGTAGGCACCTTTGTTCTGTAATAATTGGCCATGGTTCTACCCTTGGAGAACATAAATCAGAAGGAAAACAAATTATATGTATGGGACACAAGGGCAATTAGGGTAAAGGTCACACATGATTACAAAGAGAAATTATGATTGTGTAACAGATGGTTCTGACAAAAATGGCTATACACCAATATTAAAAATGGTACTTTTGAGAGAAGAGTCAGCTGAGTGAACATAGAACATTAAGAGACTGAAAATCAAGATGTGCTTTCAGGTACCTAGAATAATTAAGGTATGATTACAATGACTGGGTAAGCCACACATGAGATGACCATAGGAGTCCATTATGATTGTGGCATAGTTGAGAGACAAGCATGTATGATTAAAGTAAGACTTTTGGGGCCTACAGTCAATGTTCAAGTTGACATTCAAGTACTATGGTCAGTGTCTAGAGCAATTTTTTTAGCATACGAGTATCAGTGGTTACTTTGCAAGTGCTAGGCAGATGTAAATTTTAGTTTTGATAAATAAACACATTTATTTTATTTGTAGTAGTTTGGTAGACAGCAACCACCCAGGGAAGTACATACTACCATCCTGCCAGATGACTGTGAAACAGAAACCTGTAACTGTTTTGCATGATGGTAGGATTGCTGGTGTCTTTTTCTGTCTCATAAACATGCTAGATAACAGGGATATCTTGCTACTCCAACTTACACTTTGGTCACACTTCACAGACATGCACATGCATATATATATACATACATCTAGGTTTTTCTCCTTTTTCTACATAGCTCTTGTTCTTCTTTATTTTTTCTATTGTCATGGGGAAGTGGAAAGAATCTTTCTCGTAAGCCGTGCGTGTCGTATGAGGCGACCCAAAAAGCCGGGGGGGCAATGGGTAGTAACCCCCTTTTCCCGTGCATTTCTAAAAAGAGAAGAAAAAAAAACTTTATAAAAAAGGGGTGTTGAATGTGCGGGTGTAGTGCAGATGACAAAAAACAGGATTGCTATGTTATGAATGAAAAAAAGTTGGATGTCCCGGCCCCAAACGAAACAAAGTGAGGGAGTAGGGAAGTTTGGTGGGGGAAAAAAAATGGGGTTAAATCGGGTACTGAGAAGTTTGAGCAAAGGAAGGGGTAGCAGTAATGTTGAATTTATCAGTTATGGAAGGAAAAAAGGATATGAATGTGTAAATGCAAGATTATGTGGATTAAAGTAAAGGTTGGATGCGAAAGGGGTATAATAAGCGTGTATGCACCTGGAGAAGAGAGGAATGAGGGAGAGGAGGATTTTGGGGGGATGTAAAATGAATGTTAGGGCCTTTGAACCCAATGAGAGTAAATTTTGGGGAGGGGGCCTGAAGCTAAAAGGGGGAAACTTTTAGAGAGGGTTTTGGTAGGTAAGTTTTGGGGTGCCCGGTGTAAAGATAAGGGAGCCCCTTTTATTGAACTTTGTATGAAAGGGGTTTAGTTATAGGTAATACTATTTTAAGAAAAAGAGGATAAATAAGTATACAAGATATGATGTAGGGCGAAATGACAGTTAGTTTGTTGGATTATGTATTGGTAGATAAAAGACTGCTGAGTAGACTTCAGGATGTACATGTTTATAGAGGGGCCACAGATATATCAGATCACTTTCTAGTTGTAGCTACACTGAGAGTAAAAGGTAGATGGGATACAAGGAGAATAGAAGCATCAGGGAAGAGAGAGGTGAAGGTTTATAAACTAAAGAGGAGGCAGTTAGGGAAAAATATAAACAGCTATTGGAGGATAGATGGGCTAATGAGAGCATAGGCAATAGGGTCGAAGAGGTATGGGGTAGGTTTAAAAATGAAGTGTTAGAGTGTTCAGCAGAAGTTTGTGGTTACAGGAAGTGGGTGCGGGAGGGAAGAGGAGCGATTGTGGAATGATGATGTAAAAAGAGTAGTAAGAGAGAAAAAGTTAGCTTTTGAGAAGTTTTTTCAAAGTAGAAGTGATGCAAGGAGGGAAGAGTATATGGAGGAAAAAGAGAGAGGTTAAAGAGTGGTGAAAGCAATGTAAAAAGAGAGCAAATGAGAGAGTGGGTGAGATGTTATCAACAAATTTTGTTGAAATAAGAAAAAGTTTTGGAGTGAGATTAACAAGTTAAGGAAGCCTAGGAAACAATGGATTTGTCAGTTAAAAATAGGAGAGTTAGAGGTATTGGGAAGATGGAGGGAATATTTTTGGGAATTGTTAAATGTTGTGAAGATAGGGAAGCTGTGATTTCGTGTATAGGGCAAGGAGGAATAACTCTTGTAGGAGTGAGGAAGAGCCAGTTGTGAGTTTTGGGGGAAGTTCGTGAGGCAGTAGGGAAATGAAAGGGGGTAAGGCAGCCGGGATTGATGGGATAAAGATAGAAATGTTAAAAGCAGGTGGGGGATATAGTTTTGGAGTGGTTGGTGCAATTATTTAATAAATGTATGGAAGAGGGTAAGGTACCTAGGGATTGGCAGAGAGCATGCATAGTTCCTTTGTATAAAGGCAAAGGGGACAAAAGAGAGTGCAAAAATTATAGGGGGATAAGTCTGTTGAGTATACCTGGTAAAGTGTATGGTAGAGTTATTATTGAAAGAATTAAAAGTAAGACTGAGAATAGGATAGCAGATGAACAAGGAGGCTTTAGGAAGGTAGGGGGTGTGTGGACAAGGTGTTTACAGTGAAACATATAAGTGAAACAGTATTTAGATAAGGCTAAAAGAGGTCTTGTGGCATTTATGGATTTGGAAAAGGTGTATGACAGGGTGGTAGGGGCAATGTGGCAGATGTTGCAGTGTATGGTGTAGGAGGTAGGTTACTGAAAGCAGTGAAGAGTTTTTACGAGGATAGTGAGGCTCAAGTTAGAGTACATAGGAAAGAGGGAAATTATTTCCCAGTAAAAGTAGGCCTTAGACAGGGATGTGTGATGTCACCGTGGTTGTTTAATATATTTATAGATGGGGTTGTAAAAGAAGTAAATGCGGGTCTTGACAAGAGGCGTGGAGTTAAAAGATAAGGAATCACACATAAAGTGGGAGTTGTCACAGTTGCTCTTTGCTGATGACACTGTGCTCTTGGGAGATTCTGAAGAGAAGTTGCAGAGATTGGTGGATGAATTTGGTAGGGTGTGCAAAAGAAGAAAATTAAAAGTGAATACAGGAAAGAGTAAGGTTATGAGGATAACAAAAAGATTAGGTGATGAAAGATTGGATATCAGATTGGAGGGAGAGAGTATGGAGGAGGTGAATGTATTCAGATATTTGGGAGTGGACGTGTCAGCGGATGGGTCTATGAAGGATGAGGTGAATCATAGAATTGATGAGGGGAAAAGGGTGAGTGGTGCACTTAGGAGTCTGTGGAGACAAAGAACTTTGTCCTTGGAGGCAAAGAGGGGAATGTATGAGAGTATAGTTTTACCAACACTCTTATATGGGTGTGAAGCATGGGTGATGAATGTTGCAGCGAGGAGAAGGCTGGAGGCAGTGGAGATGTCATGTCTGAGGGCAATGTGTGGTGTGAATATAATGCAGAGAATTCGTAGTTTGGAAGTTAGGAGGAGGTGCGGGATTACCAAAACTGTTGTCCAGAGGGTTGTTGAGGTGGCTCAGACATGTAGAGAGAATGGAGCGAAACAGAATGACTTCAAGAGTGTATCAGTCTGTAGTGGAAGGAAGGGGGGTAGGGGTCAGCCTAGGAAAGGTTGGAGGGAGGGGGTAAAGGAGGTTTGTGTGCGAGGGGCTTGGACTTCCAGCAGGCGTGCGTGAGCGTGTTTAATAAGAGTGAATGGAGACGAATGGTTTTTAATACTTGACGTGCTGTTGGAGTATGAGCAAAGTAACATTTATGAAGGGGTTCAGGGAAACCGGCAGGCCGGACTTGAGTCCTGGAGATGGGAAGTACAGTGCCTGCACTCTGAAGGAGGGGTGTTAATGTTGCAGTTTAAAAACTGTAGTGTAAAGCACCCTTCTGGCAAGACAGTGATGGAGTGAATGATGGTGAAAGTTTTTCTTTTTCGGGCCACCCTGCCTTGGTGGGAATCGGCCAGTGTGATAATAATAATAATAAAAACAAAGACAAATAGTACAGTAGTTCTCTACATCAATTATTATTCACGAAAAGCACCAAATTTTACCCATATTTACTATTTCAAAAATTTGAACATAATGTAATAATTACCATTTTTAAGTCTTTAAGCATTTTTTCCATCTCCTGGTCTTGCAGTTCTCCATCTGTAAAATCACTAGCTTGGATAATTTCTGAAGCTTTAAAGATTTTCTTTGTGTATAATGGATGAATGGGCCTGTTTGAAATGTCTTGATGGCTTGTATTCCCATGTCTAGCTCTTGTTTCATCAGGTATAACCTTCCCTCTCGGGTTACTATTTTCAGCTGAAAACTGTTTCTTCTGACGTGTCTGACTCAATCCAACCATAGCCATTTCAGTGGGAAGATTATTTACTAGCTTAGATTTAGTTTGAAGATCTGGAAGCGATCTATATTCCCTGTCTGAATCGTTAATTAAAAAATTAATGTTACAATTATTTGGCCCAAGTAGCCCAGCTATATTTCCATTTCTTGGATTCCAAAGTTTGCCATTATTGCCAGTATCCAAGCTTGAGTTAGCAGTGAGAGTATGCAGAGACCCTCCATGTATGTGTCTTACTGTCTGTCTGCCCTCCTGAAACACACTTGCATCAGAATCACTGGAGGATGAGCTTCTGAGGCCAAGACGAGGCACATCTCTGGCACTCTTGCCACTGTAAAGAGAGGATGTGAATTATTCAAAATGACACGGCATCAATTCTTAACTTAAGCTCACCTCATTAAGATTGTGACGAAACATTTTTGAATAGAACTACAGATAACGTATCGTGCCCTATGCCTAAATAATGAAGTTTCATGTCTTCACAAAAAGTTTAAAAGAGGAATATGATAGGGTGGATAGAGGTTCAGTGTGGTCAATGTATAGAATAGATGGTAGATAGGTTACTAAAAGCAGTAAGGAGTTTTATAAAGAAAGTGAGCCTTAAGTTAGGGCATGTAGGGAAGAAGGGAATTATTTTCCAGTAAAGGTATCAGTAGTCCCTAGGTAGTAGGTTGGTAGACAGCAACTGCCCAGGGAGGTACTACCGTTCTGCCAAGCGAGTGTGAAACAAAAGCCTGTAATTGTTTTACATGATGGTAGGATTGCTGGTGTCTTTTGTCTGTCTCATAAACATGCAAGATTTCAGGTACGTTTTGCTACTTCTACTTACACTTAGGTCACACTACACATACATATACAAGCATATATATATATACACACCCCTCTGGGTTTTCTGCTATTTTCTTTCTAGTTCTTGTTCTTGTTTATTTCCTCTTATGTCCATGGGGAAGTGGAACAGAATTCTTCCTCCATAAGCCATGCATGTCGTAAGAGGCGACAGAAATGCCAGGAGCAAGGGGCTGGTAACCCCTTCTCCTGTATGTATTACTAAATTTGAAAGGAGAAACTTTCGTTTTTCCTTTTGGGCCACCCCACCTCGGTGGGATACGGCCGGTGTGTTGAAAGAAGAATCAGTAGCCCTTAAGAGATGTCTGTATACAGTGGAACCTCGGCACTCGAACTTAAATGATTCCAGAAGGCTGTTTGAGTGCCTATCTGTTCGAGTACAGAATTAATTTTTTCCCAGCCAATTTTCTTTTTGGTTGGCTGTTATCACTAACCCTCTTAGGCCCCATGGTGATTTATTTATACAATATAAAAAAAAAAATACAAAGAAACACAAAATAGTTTACAGCAAAGTTCTGGCAGGTCGTGTTTCTTTGGTAGAGTGTAGAGAAAACAGTCGACTACTGAGCGATTTGTTTAACGAACTAAGCGTTCAAATACAGAGCTGTTCAATACCGAGGTTCCACTACTCATAGATGGGATCACAAAAAATGAATATGTACTATTGTTAGGTAAGACACATATGCAACAGTTAGGTATCTTTATTTCGAAACGTTTCGCCTACACAGTAGGCTTCTTCAGTCGAGTACAGAAAAGTTGATAGAAGCAGAAGATACTTGAAGACGATGTAATCAGTCCATCACCCTTAAAGTTAAGGGTGATGGACTGATTACATCGTCTTCAAGTATCTTCTGCTTCTATCAACTTTTCTGTACTCGACTGAAGAAGCCTACTGTGTAGGCGAAACGTTTCGAAATAAAGATACCTAACTGTTGCATATGTGTCTTACCTAACAATCTGTCGGTATTTTATACCATTTTAATGTTCATGTACTATTGTGTTGGAGAGAAATGCGAGATTGGAGTCTGATATGAAGTGGGAATTGTCACAATTACTTTTTTTTCAATGACAGCACTTTTGGGAGATTCAGAAGAGAGATAAGAATAAGATGCTTATTTCAGCATGATACATGTTTATACAAAGGAGTATAACAATTGGGTGTACATGCCGAAAGCCCCTTTACATGCAGAGCATTTCAGGCAAACTTAAGACTAACTTAAGATTAATAAGGCAATGACAGTATGAATAATTTTGTACATGTGGTCACTTAGGTGAGTGTAATTTAAAATTTAAGAGTTTACAGTGAATACAAGAGAACTGAATATTCTATTAGTTCTTGCTATATACTTGAAAATGCTAGTTGACTAAGTGGTTGTGGAGATCTCTGGCAGAATTCCATATTTTGGGCCCTTTAATTAACATTATTTATATTAGTATAGACTGCGAAAGTCAGTGCAGTAGTCTGAAAGAGTGAGGAAAAGAAGGAAATTAAAAGTGAGCCATAAAAAGAGCAAGGTGATGAGATTAACAAAAACTTTAGACAATAAAATATTGAATATCAGATTGGAGGGAGTATGGAGAAAGTGAGCATATTTAGATTTAGATATTTGGAAGCAGATATATCAGCAGATGGGTCTATGAAAGACAAAGTGAACCACAGAACATATGGGGGAAAAATAGTAGGTGTTGTGTAGAGGTGACGGTTGAAATTTACCTATAGAGGCAAAAAGGGCAATGTACCAGAGTATAGTGGTACCAACACTTTTTTGTGAGTGAGACACGTTTTTTTAAATGTTGCACTGAAGAAGCTGGAGGCAGTGGAGATGAGAGGGAGTTTACAAATCCAGGGTGGAAGGAAGGAGGGGTAGGGAATGTCCCAGGAAGGAGTAAAACAGGTTTTAACCCTTTCACTGTCGGTCCCGTAATATTACAGCTTGCAAGCCAGTGTTGGTCCCATAATATTACGCCAAAATTCTAGTGGCTTCAGATCTTGCAGGAGAAAGCTGTAGTCCTACATACGAGAGAATGGGTCTGAGTAGTCAGTATGCACAGTATAAAAAAATCCTGCAGCACCCAGTGCATAATGGAAAAAAAAAACTTTGACTGTGTTTTTGGTTTAAAACACTGACTTTGCAGTGTATTTTTGTATGGTATTTATGGTTGTATTCTCATTTTCTTGGTCTCATTTGATAGAATGGAAGATATATTACAGAAATGGAGATATCAAATGGGTTACTGACTAAAAGTGTACCTTGAAATTGAGCTGAAAGTAGTGGAAATGTTCGATTTTTGCAGATGTTCAAGAGTAAACAAATCACATCACGTGCTACACGTTAACTGATAGGTCTAATATCCTTTCACAAATGCACTGATTTTATTTATACCATTTTTACATAATGCAGTAGTCTGCATAACAGTAAATCTATTGTTTATGTGAATAAAAACTTCAAAATGGAAAGCAAGTGTAATATAAGAGGGGCCTGAAGACATGACTAAAGAACAGAGAAAACATTATTTTAGTCCTAGGAATGTTTGTATTGTTAATTCTGGACCCTATTTTGGAATTGGCTTTACTCGAATTGTGTATGAAATTGTCCAAATTACAATTTCTGATCACTTTATTGGGTACTTGAAATCAGTAAATGGGCGATTTCTTGTACTCAATAGACAGGACAAATGGAGTTCTAGCAAAATAGCTGAATTTCATCGACTGGAACAATGGAATTGGCCAAAACTAGGGCTCAAAGTGGGTGAAATCACCGATGCTTACACATCGTCGACACCGCTAACTTTATAAGAGAGTAATTCTGTAAGTTTTCCATCAAATTTTGTACTTTTGGTGTCATTACCATCGGGAAAAGATTCTCTATCATTTCATAAGATTTTTTTTCTTTTTTAATTCTTCCACACTGAGAGCAAGTTTGTGAGCAGGGAGTCTCAACAGTGAAAGGAATGAGTGGTAGAGGTATGTGAGAGGAAATTAAGAGTGAAATGAATGGAGACAAGGTTTGACATGCTGTTGGAGTGTGAAGAAAACATTAATCAAAAGATTCAGGGAAAAACCAGTTATTCAGACTTGGGTCTTGGGGGATGTGGTAAGTACAGTGCCTGTACTCTTAAGGAGGGGTGGGGATGTTGCTGTCTGGAGGGTAAAGAGAAAAAATTATATTTATCAAGAGATGAACTTTAGTGGAACATATCCTTAATTCTATTGTTCTCCAATGATCAAAAATTCCTACTCGATCCCAAATTATGAAGCAATTCAAGTGTATTATTCTTATCCATGAAGAAAGGTTAAACCTACCAGGGTCATACAGCACCTGGGGAATGGAAGGTAATCAGGTTTGATCCAAGGGAATGGTAGTTCCAACTCCTTGAATCTAAAGTGTTTCACCCTTTTCCCTTAGAGGGTACAAGTATACAGATATTCAAATAATCCAAATGCTACAACATTCCTTTATCAGAATAGCAGGATTGCAAACAAAGGTTTACTCTGCAAATAATGTCCACTTACCAGCAACATTCCTACTTCATAAGAACCAGTATACATACCTTGCAGGGCGACTGCTACTCTTAGAGGCAGACTTCCCACGTGAACTTGCACCTGAGGCAGGTCGACTTGATACCTTACATCTTAAGTTATTGCTCTGTTCTTCAAGATATTTAGTTTTTAGTCTGTTTGAGAGATCGTGTGTGCTGATGGCATCCTGAAACAATTGTCATGAGGTGATAGAGACAAGTCCAAAAAGTTTGTAGTTCTGGGTATACACAAGTTGTTTAATTAAGTTTATGCTCTCTACATTTTTTGTCAACAAGTGCCTTAAAATCATGTAATTCTCATATAGTGCAATTTTTTTATATATATATATTTTAACACATGCCACAAGTAAGTTTTTTCTGAAACTTGATCTTTACTATTACTAAAAGTTGTTATTATTATTAACACATGCCGATTCCCACCAAGGCAGGATGGCCCGAAAAAGAAAAACTTTCATCATCATTCACTCTATCACTGTATTGCCAGAAGGGTGCTTTACACTACAGTTATAAAACTGCAACATTAACACCCCTCCTTCAGAGTGCAGACACTGTATTTCCCATCTCCAGGACTCAGGGTTTCCCTGAATCCCTTCATAAATGTTACTTTTCTCACACTCCAACAGCACGTCAAGTCTTAAAAACCATTTGTCTCAATTCACTATCAAATACACTCGCGCATGCTTGCTGGAAGTCCAAGCCCCTCGCACACAAAACCTCCTTTACCCCCTCCCTCCAACCCTTCCTAGGCCGACCCCTACCCTGCCTTTCCTCCACTACAGATTTATACACACTTGAAGTCATTCTGTTTTGTTCCATTCTCTCTACATGTCCGAACCACCTCAACCCCTCCTCAGCCCTCTGGATAATAGTTTTGGTAATCCCATACCTTCTCCTAATTTCCAAACTATGAATTCTCTGCATTATATTCACACCTACATAGCCCTCAGACATGACATCTCCACTGCCTCCAGTCTCCTCCTCATTGCAACATTTATCACCCATGCTTCACACCTATACAAGAGTGTTGGTACAACTATACTCTCACACATTCCCTTCTTTGCTTCCACGGACAAAGTTCTTTGTCTCCACAGACTCCGAAGTGCACCACTCACCCTTTTTCCCTCATCAATTCAATGGTTCACCTCATCCTTCATAGACCCATCTGCTGACATGTCCACTCCCAAATATCGGAATACATTCACCTCCTCCATACTCTCTCCCTCCAATCTGATACCCAATCTTTTGCCACCTAATCTTTTTATCCTCATCACCTTACTCTTTCCTATATTCACATTTAATTTTCTTCTTTTACATACCCTACCAAATTCATCCACCTACCTCTGCAACTTCTCTTCAGAATCTTCCAAAAAGCACAGTGTCATCAGCAAAGAGCAACTCTAGACAACTCCCACTTTGTGTTTGATTCTTTATCTTTTAACTCCACACCTCTTGCCAAGACCCTCGCATTCACTTCTCTTACCCCATCTATAAATATACTGAATAACCATGGTGACATCACACATCCTTGTCTAAGGCCTACTTTTACTGGGAAATAATCCCACTCTCCTACATACTCTAACCTGAGCCTCACTATCCTCATAAAAACTCTTCACTGCTTTCAGTAACCTACCTCCTATACCATACACCTGCAACATCTGCCATATTGCCCCCCTATCCACCTTTCCTGTAGGCAGCCACATTTTGATGGTGGAAGGGTTAAAATGTGTTAATGCCAAGAGCCATGGTGACTGGAGTTTCCAATGATAAGGAGCCATAGCTGCAAAGATTTAGAGCTGCCCCAAGCACTTGCTGTGTGCACACACAATATATTCCATTTCCCCTCACTTTAAAGCTGAGCCTTCCCTATGGATCTATGGCCAATTTGCAAGCAATATGCTTCTTTGGCAGGAGGTTAAAAATAAAATTGGGAGGTTTATTGATGACCTAAATGAATAAGTCTGAAGGCCACTTTTTTTTTTCTAGGGTCAAGCAGGCCTTAGAGGGTGTTTACCTTTCAGTCCTGTGCCAGCCACTAGACCTTTTAACCCTTCAACTGTCCAAACGTAGATCTACATTTTCGTGCATAGCACTCCAACCTTGATTTTCTCCATAAGAAAGCACATAAAATAACATAGATCTAAGTTCGGAGTGCTACGCAAGCGAAAGTAGATCTACATTTGGACAGTTTAACCCTTAAACGGTCCAAGCGTATATATACGTTCACCTGCGCAGCGCCCCAAATATTTTGAGAGAAAAAAAAAATTCTTTTTATAGGAAAAAGGAGCATGTGGTACCCAGGCATCCCCAATTTTTTTCATATGGTCCACAGTGAGTGCACACACCCATTCTCTCATGTCTAGACTCCTCAGGCCTATCGTGCCAATGTTGAATGAATGACAAATGAAACGTATATATACGTTTGGGGCGCTACGTGAGAGAACGTATGTATACATTTGGACCGTTTAAGGTTAAGGGTTAATGACTATTACAAGTGCAAGGCATAAACCAATCTATCATTGCAATGACTCTCAATAATGAAGTGCATATCTTAGAACACTAAAGACTGCACCCTTACATTTGGTTATTTCCAAGAAGCAACCAGGCAATAATGAAAAGTGCACATAAAATAATCCAAAATTTTTATTCTTTTATTTTACTTAAGTATTTTTGCATACTGAACTACAATGAGTCAACAGCTGAGAAATACATGTCCTTTCACTCTCTCTAAACCTTTTACTTCTACATGATTTGTAATAAAGTTGGTAGAATTACCGACAATATGTAATGTAAAAGGACACAAGTGCAACTAATGTGACATTTATTGTGGCAACGTTTCGCTCTCCAGGAGCTTTATCAAGCCATTACAAACAATACATGGACACAGAGGGTATATAAAGGCTCAGAGTGAGGTGCAATACTAGTGAGGTAACATTTCGATGTTCACTAGTGGTAGTAGTAGTAGTGGTGACAAAAGTAATACAATATGATAGAGCAATTAATTCGTACATGAGTAAAAGGATACAAAAGCTATTATTTGGGTAACATAAAAATAGGTTGGACAAATATAGACTGGAAAGATGCAGTTTGTTTCAGTGTTCACTCTCTGTAATGTGCTTTGTGTAGTATAACAGGAGAGACTATGTGATGGCAGGGTTTACTGTTTTCAGGAGGATTCTTGCTAAGACTTCGGAGATGGTGAAGCTGCCGTTGTTTTGTTTAACTGTATTCAAAACAGCGATCAGTGCTGATTCAAGGCACTTGCGTCTGCGGAAATTAGTTTCTTTGATCACTAATTGGGCGTCTCTGAATTTCATGAGATGATTGGTGGAATTTCGGTGTTGTACACAGGCATTGTTCAAGTTATCGTTCCTACATGCGTAAATGTGTTCATTGAGGCGGGTGTCGAGGTTTCTTGCTGTTTCACCTACGTAAATCTTGTCACAGCCTCCACAGGGTATAGTGTAAACTCCTGCATTGACTGGTTCGTGGTGCTTGGATTTTGTCCTGGTTAGATCCTTAATGACAAGCTACCTTTCCTCGACGTCCTCATTCACAAAGTAGACAACAACCTAAGATTTCAAGTTTATCGGAAACCCACCAATAAAAATGATCTCACACACTTCTATTCCAGTCAAGATACCAAGACCAAAAGAGGCATCATCATCGGGTTTTTCCTAAGAGCATACCGAATTTGTAGTCCTAAGTTTCTTGACGAGGAATGTACATACATTCACCAAACATTCACTGAGTTACATTTTCCTTCTTTTTTCATCAAAGACTGCAAGAAAAGAGCTCTTCAGATCATTAATTCTCCACGCATCAACACCATTCCCAACAAAGTTATAATTCTTCCAACAGCCAGGTTGCACTGAACGTCTCAAAAGTACTTTCACAAGCTAAACACCAGAGTCGCCATCGCTTCTAGCACTTCAATAAAGGATCTAACCAGGACAAAATCCAGGCACCACGAACCAGTCAATGCAGGAGTTTACACTATACCCTGTGGAGGGTGTGACAAGATTTACGTAGGTGAAACAGCAAGAAACCTCGACACCCGCCTCAATGAACACATTTACGCATGTAGGAACGATAACTTGAACAACGCCTGTGTACAACACCGAAATTCCACCAATCATCTCATGAAATTCAGAGACGCCCAATTAGTGATCAAAGAAACTAATTTCCACAGACGCAAGTGCCTTGAATCAGCACTGATCGCTGTTTCGAATACAGTTAAACAAAACAACGGCAGCTTCACCATCTCCGAAGTCTTAGCAAGAATCCTCCTGAAAACAGTAAACCCTGCCATCACATAGTCTCTCCTGTTATACTACACAAAGCACATTACAGAGAGTGAACACTGAAAAAACTGCATCTTTCCAGTCTATATTTGTCCAACCTATTTTTATGTTACCCAAGTAATAGCTTTTGTATCCTTTTACTCATGTACGAATTAATTGCTCTATCATATTGTATTACTTTTGTCACTACCACTACTACTACTACTACTACCACTAGTGAACATCGAAATGTTACCTCACTAGTATTGCACCTCACTCTGAGCCTTTATATACCCTCTGTGTCCATGTATTGTTTGTAATGGCTTGATAAAGCTCCTGGAGAGCGAAACGTTGCCACAATAAATGTCACATTAGTTGCACTTGTGTCCTTTTACTCTACATGATTTACAGTGGTATTACAATGGTAGACTAATGACAGTATGTAAATAAGACTAAATGTGGATTGTCATTTTACTGTGGAAATGCGTCATCCACCACACACACTTTATCAATTCACACAAGGAACAAGACATGGGCATGTATGCAGGTTGTAGAGAGGTTCTAAGGCGAAAGGAGTAGGTCATATAGTCACATGTGCACAGCTAACCAAGCAGATAAGGTTAGATAATAGAACAAGCCTTGTGAAAACTCTGAAGACTATAAATGATAATTAACTACATGACCTCATTTTTTCACCTCAGAATCTTTCTACAACCCATATAAATACCTACATCTTGCCCTCTTTTTTTTTTTTTTTTTTCAACAAGTCGGCTGTCTCCCACCTCACTCATACATAATCACTGTCTTTGCAGAGGCGCTCAGATACGACAGTTTAGAAGTCCCTCCCAACTGTCAATATCCCAAACCCCTCCTTTAAAGTGCAGGCATTGTACCTCCCATTTCCAGGACTTGAGTCCAGCTAACCGGTTTCCCTAAATCCCTTCACTAAATATTACCCTGCTCACACTTCAACAGCTCATCAGGTCCCAAAAACCATTCTTCTCCATTCACTCCTATCTAACATGCTCACGCACGCTTGCTGGAAGTCCAAGCCCCTCACCCACAAAACCTCCTTTACCCCCCTCCCTCCAACCTTTTCGAGGATGACCCCTACCCCTCCTTCCTTCCCCTACAGATTTATACACTCTCCAAGTCATTCTACTTTGATCCATTCTCTCTAAATGACCAAACCACCTCAACAACCCCTCTTCAGCCCTCTGACTAATACTTTTAGTAACTCCACACCTTCTCCTAATTTCCACACTCTGAATTCTCTGCATAATATTTACACCACACATTGCCCTGAAGGAGGGGTGTTAATGTTGCAGTTTTAAAAACTGTAGTGTAAAGCACCCTTCTGGCAAGGCAGTGATGGAGTGAATGATGGTGAAAGTTTTTCTTTTTCGGGCCACCCAGCCTTGGTGGGAATTGGCCAGTGTGACAATAATAATAAAAAAAACATTGCCCTTAGACAGGACATCTCCACTGCCTCCAGCCGCCTCCTTGCTGCAGCACTGACAACCCAAGCTTCACATCCATATAAGCGTTGGTACCACAATACATGTGCTTTCATACATTCCCTTCTTTTCCTCCATTGATAATGTTTTTTGTCTCCACAGATACCTCAATGCACCACTCACCTTTTTTCCTTCATCAATTTTATGGTTAACCTCATCCTTCATAAACCCCGGTGGACGAAACATCTTAATGAAATGCCATAACCAGCATTGTCTTATATGCATAAGAGTTAGTGACTCTCCTTTGTAAACTTCCTAAACCTCAGTTTCACACTGACCATATCTAGCCATCTTTTCCATGGCTGCTGCTCCACTATACACCTACCACATTTTTCTCAACTGCACTGAACATGTCACATGCAATGTTTTGATTTCCTTAACCCAAATATAGATTTTTAACATACTGCACCATTCTTTTTCCCAAAAGACGGGTGACCCAAAGAAGGAATCACACTTGTCATCACTCATTTCCTAGCAGTTTTTTCCAGAAATACACCAACATCACAATTCACATGATCCATTGAACTGCAGCATCCAAATCCATCCTTCCAAGTAAAAATCCTTTATTTTTCCACCTCCAGAACTAGTCTAGAAAACATGTTTCCTCTAAATACCCAAAGTAATTTATTTAACTTCTGTTATATTATACCTTATTGTATGTCTACTTTCACATGCAGTATATTAAATACTGTCTGACTCCAGAGGGTTATTTAAACTGTGATGTTTGCACACTTAGGGCAAGACGGCAATTTAACGAGAGTTTCCTTTTCTTTGGGGGGGCACCCCCCTACCTTCAAGATAATTTTATTCCTTACCAATCAACAAACTACATAAATACTAAATTCTGAGTATAAAATAGGCAAGATGCAGATTTTAGTATCAAACTTATCATACCTCAGGTTGCACCCCCAGGATGGAGGATACAGCTGTGACAATACTCTGATGCTGAGCTTTAAGTCTCCCATTTTCTTCTTCAAGTATCTTTAACTGTTGCTGTAGCTCCACCATTTTCATCGTATGAGAGGAATTTAACTCCCTAACTTTCTTTTCATATCTGTAATAAATGTACTACTTATAAACTTAAATTTAATGTGTTTACTATCATTACATAATATTAAACTTCCCTTATGGCCTTTCTTACACAGTCCAAACTATCCTTCCATATCATCCCTCTTTCATTTAAGAACATAAGAACATAAGAAAGGAGGAACACTACAGGAGGCCTGCTGGCCCATACTAGGCAGGTCCTTTACAATTCATCCCACTAACAAAACATTTGCCCAACCCAATTTTCAATGCCACCCAAGAAATAAGCTCTGATGTGAAAGTCCCACTCAAATCCAACCCCTCCCACTCATGTACTTATCCAACCTAGATTTGAAACTACCCAAAGTCCCAGCCTCAATAACCCAACTAGGTAGACTGTTCCACTCATCAACTAACCTATTTCCAAACCAATACTTTCCTATGTCCTTTCTAAATCTAAACTTATCTAATTTAAATCCATTACTGCGGGTTCTCTCTTGGAGAGACATCCTCAAGACCCTATTAATATCCCCTTTATTAATACCTATCTTCCACTTATACACTTCGATCAGGTCTCCCCTCATTCTTCGTCTAACAAGTGAATGTAACTTAAGAGTCTTCAATGACCTAACTAAACAATCTCTTAAGTATCTACCCTTAAACAAATGATACAAGGAATCAGCTTAACACAAAAATCTATATAAAAATGTATGGATACATTACTACATTTTTTAATATCATCAAAGCAAAGCTGATTCATTTCACCATTAAACCACAAGGGCAAAGAAGATACCTGTATATTACATCTCACCCTTTTTGCAGACCTAGGCAAACACAATTGTGGCTACTCCGCTGAACATCTAGCTGCTCTTCAAGATTCTTTTTCATGTTCATCTCCAGCTTGTTTAACTGATCCTGTAATATACAGCATTATGTGATGAATATATAGTACCAATTGCTGACCTTGATCTTCCAGGCCACTATCCAGGGGTCCCAGCCAACCCACCCCATGTCGTCCTCCTTAGCTAGAGCTGGGGCCTCCCGTCATGGCTCCTAGGCTATCCACCCACCACCATCCCTCACTAATAACTCTCCTTTTCTTCCCCAGTGAGCCAACAGCTCATGTTCTAACACAATATAAATGATAAAGCTACAGTTCTTGATCACACTTTTCCCTCCAAAATGTGAAACCTTCATTCATGTATGAAATGAATATTTACAAAGCATAAATGCATTTGGTAAAAAAAGCTGAGTGAGAAAAATGTGGAATTGGCAAAATTCAAGAACACATCCCTAGCTATTACAGGAGGGCCCCGCTTTACAGCTCTTCTCTTATGGCACTTCACTAATGTGGACATTTCAGATTACGTATACCCAAAAATTCATTTATACAGCTCCTGATTCGCTATTACGATGTCCATGCACCATCTGTTCACTCTATTTACATTCTACGTGAGCTCCAGGTCTTTTCCAGTTATGTCTGGAAACTTTCCAGTGTTTTAAAGTTATTGCATATTTTATATATACAGCCTCCCCTCACTTTGCAACGTACTCATTTACCAACGACTCAGACTTACAATGGGCTTTCTGACCAGTATACATGTACATACCTAAATAATGTATATTAGAGCTGATTTCTCCTATTCTGTTTATTACAATATACAGTAGTACTTGGAAAGTGTATAAATCTGTAGGGGAAGGAAGGCGGGGTAGGGGTCGTCCTAGAGAAGGTTGGAGGGAGGGGGTAAAGGTGGTTTTGTGGGCGAGGGGCTTGGACTTCAAGCAAGCATGTGTGAGCATGTTAGATAGGAGTGAACGGAGACAAATGGTTTTTGGACCTGACAAGCTGTTGGAGTATTATTAGGGTAATATTTAGTGATGGGATTCAGGGAAACCAGTTATTTTTATATGGCCGGACTTGAGTAATGGAAATGGGAAGTACAATGCCTTCACTTTAAAGGATGGGTTTGGGATATTGGCAGTTTGGAGGGGTATGTTATATATCTTTATATGTGCTTCTAAACTGTTGTATCTGGGTGCCTCTGCAAAGACAGTGATTATGTGAGTGAGGTGAAAGTGATGAATGATGATGAAAGTTTGTTTTTATTTTTGGGGATTTTCTTTCATTTTGGGTCACCCTGCCTCGGTGGGAGATGGCCGACTTGTTGGAAAAAAAAAAGTACATTATTGTATAAACATTTAAAAATATACTAAAAATGTTAAAAATAGTGCAAAGGTGACATTAAAACAATATCAAAAATGGATGACACAAACCCACTACCATTACAGCATGTTCCTTGCTTAGTGATGAATTCATTTACCAGTGTGGTCTTAGGAACGGAACTCCGTCATTAAGTGAGGAGAGGCTGTACTCTTTTTCGTGTTACAATGACGTCTAAGGGTAGTTGTCATAAAAAGTGTAGTAGTAAGGCTCTTACTTTAAGTGCAAAGTTAGAGATTATTAAACTCAGTGAGCAAGGTATATCTAGGGCTGAGATACTACTGTGTGCTGGTGTGCAGGTACATTAAAATCACTATTTAGCATTGTTGCAACGAATAGATATGTTAGTTAAAAATAGGAGAGGAGAGTTATTAAATGGAGAGTTAAAGGTATCAGGAAGATGGAGGGAATATTTTGAGAAATTGTTAAATGTTGATGAAGATAGGGAAGCTGTGATTTCGTGTATAGGGCAAGGAGGGATAACATCTTATAGGAGTGAGGAAGAACCAGTTGTGAGTGTGGAGGAAGTGCATGGGGCAGTGAGTAGAATGAAAGGGGGTAAAGCAGCTGAGATTGATGGGATAGAGATAGAAACGTTTAACCCTTTGACTGTTTTGGTCATATATATACGTCTTACGAGCCACCGTTTTTGACATATGTATACTCATAAATTCTAGCGACTTCAAATCAAGCAGGAGAAAGCTGGTAGGCCCACATGCGAGAGAATAAGTCTGTGTGCACCATATAAAAAAAATCCTGCAGCACGCATTGCATAACGAGGAAAAAAAAAACTCCGACCGTTTTTTTTTAATTAAAATGCCGACTTTGTGGTCTATTTTTGTATAGTATTTATTGTTGTATTCTCGTTTTCTTGGTCTCATTTGATAGAATGGAAAACATATTATAGAAATAGAGGTGATTTTGATTGGTTTTACTATGAAAAGAACCTTGAAATGGAGCTCAAAGTAGGGGAAATGTTTGACTTTTGCCGTTGTTCAAAAGTAAACAAATGATGTCATTTTCCAATAAATGTCCAAGTAGCCATTCTAATATGCAGTCATAAATGGGTTGACATTATTTATACAATTATTACAATATTGCAGCAGTCTGCATAACAGTAAATCTTCTATTTTTTGTTTGAATAAAAATTCAAAATAGAAAGCAAGAGTAATATCAGAGGGGCCTGGAGACATGACTGATGAACAAAGAAAATGTCATTTTAGAGCCAGGAATGTCTGCATTGTTCATTCTGGACCCTATTTTGAAATTGTCATATTTTTAAATTTTCGTGAAATTGACCAAATTGCAAATTTCTGACCACATTATTAGGTAGTTGAAATCGGTAAATGGGCAGTTTATTGTACTCAGTCGATAGAAAAAAATGGAGTTCTAAAGAAATAGCTATGAGTTTGGTCGACTGGAACAATGGAATTAGCGAAAATTAGGGCTCAAAGTGGGCGAAATCGCCGATTCATAAATATCGCTGAGGTCGCTAACTTTGCGAGAGTGTAATTCTGTCAGTTTTCCATCAAATTTCGTTCTTTTGGTGTCATTACAATCGGGAAAAGATTCTCTATCATTTCATAAGATTTTTTTTTTTTTTTGGGGGGGGGGGGAGATTTTGCAACACCAGGAGACACCTCAGGATTTGGGGTTGTGACAATCAAGGGGTTAAGGCAGGTGGGGATATAGTTTTGGAGTGGTTAGTGTTTTTATTTAATAAATGTATGGAAGAGGGTAAGGTACCTAGGGACTGGCAGAGAGCATGCATAGTTCCTTTGTATAAAGGCAAAGGAGAGAAAAGAGTATAAAAATTATAGGGGAATAAGTCTGTTGAAAGAGGGGAAGGTTCCTTGTAAAAATTATAGAGGAATAAGTTTACTGAGTATACCAGGAAAAGTGTACGGTAGGGTTATTATTGAAAGAATTAGAGGTAAGACAGAATGTAGGATTGCGGATGAGCAAAGAGGTTTTAGAGTGGGTAGATGTGTAGATCAAGTGTTTACATTGAAGCATATATGTGAACATTATTTAGATAAAGGTAGGGAAATTTTTATTGCATTTGTGGATTTAGAAAAGGCATATGATAGAGTGAATAGGGGAGCAATGTGGCAGATGTTGCAAGTATATGGAATAGGTGGTAAGTTACTAAATGTTGTAAAGAGTTTTTATGAGGATAGTGAGGCTCAGGTTAGGGTGTGTAGAAGAGAGGGAGACTACTTCCCAGTAAAAGTAAGTCTTAGACAGGGATGTGTAATGTCACAATGGTTGTTTAATATATTCATAGATGGGGTTGTAAAAGAAGTAAATGCTAGGGTGTTCGGGTGAGGGGTGGGATTAAATTATGGGGACTCAAATACAAAATGGGAATTGACACAGTTACTTTTTGCTGATGATACTGTGCTTATGGGAGATTCTAAAGAAAAATTACAAAGGTTAGTGGATGAGTTTGGGAGTGTGTGTAAAGGTAGAAAGTTGAAAGTGAGCATAGAAGAGAGTAAGGTGATGAGGGTATCAAATGATTTAGATAAAGAAAAATTGGATATCAAATTGGGGAGGAGGAGTATGGAAGTGAATGTTTTCAGATATTTGGGAGTTGACATGTCAGCGGATGGATTTATGAAGGATGAGGTTAATCATAGAATTGATGAAGGAAAAAAGGCGAGTGGTGCATTGAGGTATATGTGGAGACATAAAACATTATCTATGGAGGCAAAGAAGGAAATGTATGAAAGTACAGTGGTACCAACACTCTTACATGGGTGTGAAGCTTGGGTTGTAAATGCTGCAGCAAGGAGGCGGTTGGAGGCAGTGGAGATGTCCTGTCTAAGGGCAATGTGTGGTGTAAATATTATGCAGAAAATTCGGAGTGTGGAAATTAGGAGAAGGTGTGGAGTTAATAAAAGTATATTAGTCAGAGGGCTGTAGAGGGGTTGTTGAGGTGGTTTGGTCATTTAGAGAATGGATCAAAGTAGAATGACATAGAGAGCGTATAAATCTGAAGGGAAGGAAGGCGGGGTAGGGGTCGTCCTCAAAAAGGTTGGAGGGAGGGGGTAAAGGTGGTTTTGTGGGCGAGGGGCTTGGACTTCCAGCAAGCGTGCATGAGCGTGTTAGATAGGAGTGAATGGAGACCAATGGTATTTGGGACCTGACGAGCTGTTGGAGTGTGAGCAGGGTAATACGTATTTAGTGAAAGGATTCAGAGAAACCGGTTATTTTTATATAGCCGGACTTGAGTCCTGGAAATGGGAAGTACAATGCCTGCACTGTAAAGGAGGGGGTTTGGGATATGGGCAGTTTGGAGGGCTATGTTGTGTATCTTTATATGTATATGCTTCTAAACTGTTGTATTCTGAGCACCTCTGCAAAAACAAGGATTATGCGTGAGTAAGGTGAAAGTGCTGGATGATGATGAAAGTATTTTCTTTTTTGGGATTTTCTTTCTTTTTGGGTCACCCTGCTTCGGGGGGAGAGGCCAAACTTTTTTAAAAAAAATTCATAGTAAAAAAAATTTAACATAATTTGGGGGTGTGGTAGCCGGGCAGGGAAAGGATGACGACAATAATTACTTAACACATTTTCTTAATATCACACCAGAGAAACTGTGTACGTATTAAAGCGGGAATGTAAAAAAAACATTCTTATGTCTTCATTAAATACATCTTCACTCTCAAAAAGGTGTGTTGCTAAGAATGGGAGTGTTGTTGGTGTTTTTCTACAGCCCCAACATGAAGACAATTGTACACATGAAAATGAAATGCATCAACCGAAAGTGACAGGTATTAATACTACACACTTTTGCCCACCCACTCTCGGTTTGTTTACCTTCGTGAGCTCCAAGTCTCTCTCTTTTAAACTCGTTTCTCTCTTTACGATGGTTTTATGGGTAGCTTGAAAAAAGGGAGTTGAACCCTCTTACGTTAAATCCCAAAGTTAGAAATGATTAACCAGTGAGTAAAAGTATGTTGATGGCAAAAACCCACCCATAATAATAAAATTGCTCTGGGGGGTTTTAATGTCATATGTTAATTTTTTATGGCTTTTTCATTATCCATTTATTATTTTTCAAAATTAATAAAAAAAACTTTACATATCATAAACAAAATGTTACACAAAAGCAAATTTTTTAAAAATTGTGAGGTGTGGTTGCCAGCAGGCTACCAACATGATTACTACATTAAAAAATCTCACCTCTCAACCTCAAAAGACTACAAATATTTTAAGGAAAGTATGGTGTTTTTTTACTTTTTTTTTTTTATGCTAGTTCTTTTGCTAACTAAAATATGTAGTGTAAATGTTAACGGGGATTATATGCATTTAAAAGTGAAAAAAAGGGTGATTGCTTACAGCGTAGCCGGGAATTTAAAACGCCATAAAGCGGGCCCCCCTTGTCTTATAACTTTTTCGCTTTGTGTTTTCACTGTTTCGGGCCCCAATGGAAAATATCATTGCATACCTTTTTTTAACTGGGGGACACCTGTACGTACCACAGAAAAGGAGTTTAAAAAAAGGAAAAAAAAAGTTATACGCAAGCAAGTAGAAGTTTGAGAGATTTCCCTGCCATTTACTGTTCATGGACAAAACAAAAATATTTTCTCATTTTTAAAAATTACTGCATTAAAATCTGGGTGGATACTGTTTGTTGCAGAATTTTCAGCTTCTGTCCAATAAATTTTAGGTTTTATCTAATTTTTTTTGCCTGGTTTTCAATGCCCCTTTTAAACTTTGAATGTAGTCAATGGAGGAAATTTTATCATTTTTCTCATAAAAAAAAAAAAAAAATTGACATTAGCAACAATGAAAAAGTAGAATCCCTGGAATTCTGGGACTTCTCCCCATCAAGTCCTCTAGCGGGGCCCCGGGTAGTGATGGTGAAGTTCTTTCCTGGGGCTGTACCTGGGATGACAACCCTTCACTTGTTCCTTAAAGATGCCTGTAATTTTGAAAAAAAATTTAAAAATTATTTATTGGTCCATAGGAAACTGAATCGGGGTTTTAAACTTGATTTAGTGTTTTCTGGGAAATAAGTCAAAAACCATTTTTAAGAAAAAAACATTTATTAAATTGCCATACACATAACATTTTATTTCCCTCAAGTGTTTTAAATTCAAAGCAAGATTGTGATTTTGGGAGCATTTGGTTTTTTGGAAAAAGGATGAACTTTTTTGCAGTTGACAGTCATTAACCCCAAAAAAAAAAAAAAAAATAGGGGAAAATGTTTTTTTATCATACAAAACACTAACACCAAAACCCGAAAAAATGCTGTATCTTTTTTTTAATCTGTACATGTTAAACCATTTTTTTTTTTTTTTCAAAAGTCGGCCGTCTCCCAGTTATAAATTACTACGTCATTTCCTTTATGGCCCCCTTTTGAACTTTCATGGTCATTTTTCCTTCCTTCAAAAAGCATCCTGTGAAAAATTATTCAAATGCAATAATTTAAATTTATATTTGTATTAATTTTTCCCTTTTAAGCTCTTGAACCCCTTCCCTTTTTTTAAAGCATTTTTTCAAGGTAATTAAAACAATTTTTCCAACAAATTAAAAAAAACAATGTCCTTTTGGGGCATACACATTAATAACCTTTTATTTAATACAGTTATAACTAAGTAAAAGGGAAGTGATAACACTAACATTCTCCTTCAAGGTTTTTTCTCTCATTTCTTCTTCCCTTTCCATTTTCTGTAAGAGCATCCCTTTGCTCTCGTAAAATTTGAAAATCTCCTCCAATGAGCATTTTTCTTACA